TCAGAATGAAGTTTCTCCGGCCAGGACTGGATGAATTGAGAAACATGGAACATTTGCTGGAAAGGAGCTGTGAAAGTAAATAGGCCACGAAGGACAGAAAAACAAAGGAAGCCTGAAATCCTTCCATTTCACCTGAAACTCATGCTACAAGGTAATCATTTTTCTTGCTCACCAAATGTTTCACAATGGCATTTATTACTGAAAATACATTGCAAGGCACAGAGTTCCTGAGACCTGAGCTGAAATGATATGTGTAATAAAAAAAGGTCGATATGCAAAGTAGGTAAATGTATTGGGGAGACCATGGGCACATCTATACTGTAGAATCAATGTAATTTGATATTCCTTTCACTGTCATGGTTCAATGCTATGGAATCCTATAAGTTGTAGTTTTACAAGGTCTTTAGCTTTCTCTGTGAAAGAGTACTGGTGCCTCACTAAACTACAAATCCTAAGATTCTATAGCTTTGAGCCATAGCAGTCAAACTGGTGTCAAACTGCAGTGTAGAGATGCACCATATGAGTACATACTGGCAAGTATGGAATCAGTATTTATCAGCCTCCATTCTTCATAGCTGAAAATGTATAATAATGATCCCATAGAGCTATTGCAAGGATACAAAAAAGTGAGATTGTAGAACAGAAAAAAAAATGTTTTCCAAACATATACGCCTACAATTTAGACTCATGAAAAAATGGCCCAGTCAAATCATTCATCATGAATCATTGAATCAGAATTGGAAGAAACCTCATGGGCCATCCAGTCCAACCCCCTGCCAAGAAGCAGGAAAACTGCATTCAAAGCACCCCCGACAGGTAGCTATCTAGCCTCTGCTTAAAAGCCATCAAAGAAGGTGCCTCCACCACACAAAGCCCCACAATGCAATGGCAGTTGGAAAAATGCATGCACAGTGGTTGTGTGAATTTGCCTAGCATGAGGGAACAGAATAATAATAATAATAATAATAATAATAATAATAATAATACATCACACAGTCCTAGAAGTGTTCGACTTGTAATTTTGTGATATGAAATCCAGCATATATACCTTGTTTGCCATGACATACTGTGTTTTTGTGTCACTAAAATAATAATAAAAATAATAATTTTATTTATATCCCGCTATCATCTCCCAGAAGGGATTTGGGGCGGCTTAGGACTTAACGAATGCATGTTCTGGCTGCCTTTTATCATAGATGAACTTATCCCTAATTGGTAATACTGTTATATGCTATCTATGCTTTATTGAGAATTCTCTACTGGAAAGCCTTAATGCCTCATCACACTACAGATCCCAATATTTCCTCTAACATAACTGCACCAGTTAAAGTGGCATGAAAGTGCAATCCTGTGTTAAGCTTCTGAGGTGCTATAAACTATGGCATCTCACCTCATTTGAAGTGTAAGCTCTCCATAGAAAATAATGGGAGAAAGGAGGAAGTATCATTTCCTATTTCTTTGATCCATGTTTCCATAAATTCTCACATATCAAAATGGAAAAACAATTCAGTACATATGGTTGAAACAATATTATATGGTTGGCAACTTTCGAAGTGGTCTCTTTGCCTGATCTTTAATGATGTAGTTTCTGTAATGGACTCTGGAGCTCAGCTCTGGAAAGACTTTTGATCTACACTGTCATATAAAATCCAGATTATCTGATTTGATTTGATGTAGATTATATGGCAGTGTAGACTTATATAATCCAGTTCAAAGTAGATGTGGATTATCTGCTTTGAATATATGGCAGTGTAGAAAAGGCCCTAGAAGTCCTCTGAGAGTTCTTGGTAGATGGGCCCCCCTCTACTCCCTAGCCTGATTTTGCTAATGTAATCATTTGATTAAAAACATGAATAACCAGTCAATTACTTTTAGCTGATGACAAATGTGTGTATATTTTAAATATTTTAATCGAATATTAGTCCTAAAGCAAGAATCATATTTAACATATTTTAATGTTTTCTCAGATGGTGTCCGTATCCTAGCATGTACTTTAGAAAAGGCTTTTCCTTCTGTGTGGGAATACAGGCAGTTCCCAAGTTATGAACAAGATTAGGTTCTATAGGTTTGTTATTAAGTTGAATTTGTTTGTAAGTCAGAACAGGTACATTATATATATGCATGCATGCTTGCTTTGGATAGCATAGGGAAGGGTTAACACCCCGTGTTGTTTGTTTTGCTGTCTGTGCCTCTGTTCAGAAGATTTCACCTTATTTTCTGTCAGTGTATTAATTGGATTTTGAAAATTTTTGCTTGTTGTGGAAACAGGGATTGGTGATAAAGCTTCAATGGAGACACTTTTTCCTATTATAAATCTTCAAGGAATGATTTCCCCTTTCTAGGGGTAGGTTTGTCTCACTTCCTGTTGTCTCATCCTCGTTGTCTCACCCAGTTTCAAACTGGCCAGCCAGGGTATTGTTTTATGATGTTAATTGATTTTAATATTATTATTTGTTGTTATTGTTTTTACTGTGTCTGTTTTATTTGTAATCCTTGGGCTTGTCTCTCTGTAAGCCTCCCCGAGTCCCTTTGGGGAGATGGAGGCAGGGTATAAAAATAAAGTTATTATTATTATTATTTGAAACACAACAAGATGAGTCCACAGCAGACACTCTACTAGCTGTTGTATTGGATTGCACGTTGGACACTTCCCAAGTGTCTAGGACTGTGTGATCGGACTGTGTATCGGCAAATAATGTGTGTGGCCTTTTGCAGCTGGCAGATGGTAATCTTATCAGCCCCAATTGTGTTTAAGTGCAGGCCAAGGTCTTTAGGCACTGCACCCAGTGTACAGATTATTATTATGATTATTATTATTTGAAACACAACGATGAGTCCACAGCAGACACTCTACTGGCTGTTGTGTTGGATCACACGTCGGACACTTCCCAAGTTGTTGTTGTTATTATTATTGCCACAAAAGCACAGTATGTCACAACAACCGAGATATATATACTTTGTTTCGTATCCCAAAATCACAAGTCGAACATTTCCCAAGCGTCTAGGACTGTGTGATGTATTTTCAAATGTTGCGTGCAGATCGAAGTAAGATGGCCTTTTGCAGTTGACAGATCATGATTTTGTCAAGGTTTATTGTTTCCAAATGCCGGCTGAGATCTTTTGGCACGGCATCCAGTGTGCCAGTGACCACTGGGACCACCTGTACTGGTTTATGCCAGAGCCTTTGCAGTTCGATTTTGAGGTCTTGATAGCGGCTGAGTTTTTCTTGTTGTTTTTCCTCAATGCGACTGTCACCTGGTATGGTGACATCAATAATTCAGACTTTTTTCTTTTCTACAATTGTGATGTCTGTCGTATTGTGTTCCAAAACTTTGTTGATCTGGATTCGAAAGTCCCACAATATTTTTGCATGCTCATTTTCCACGACCTTTGCGGATTTATGATCCCACCAATTCTTTACTGCTGGCGGGTGGTACTTGTGACCAGGGCTGTAGCCAGAAAAAAATTTCAGGGAGGGTTGAAAATTTCAAGGGGGGGGGTTGAAAATTTCAAGGGGGGGGGGTTGAAAATTAGGGGGGGCTTGAAACCTGCCTCCTAGCTCACACTGAAGCAAAGAGCACAGAGGGGGCAGAGCAGCCTTCAATAGCCTGCAGCTCCGCCCCTGTCAACCACCTCCACCAAGTCTGGCCTCCTTAATGAGAGCATTCAACAACCCCCCCCCCAACTTGGTTGCTTCGCTACATCGGCTATTGCTGCAAGTAATGACAGTGTGAATAAATTGTCAGTATTTGCTTGAGATAGTGCTTGCAGTTCTGGAGGGACTCTTATTTTTTTGTGTCTCATAGACTTAGCAGCATGGGGATTTGGTTAACCAGTTAAAATTCATGAGTAAGCCAGGTTTTTTTAACCTGAAAAATGGGGGGGGGGGGGGTGAACCCTAACCCCCCCCCTCGCTTCAGGACTACAGGGAAATGGTCTACAGCAGGGGTCCACAAACTTTTTAAGCCGAGGGCCAGGTCACAGTCCCTCAAACTGTTGGAGGGCCAGATTATAATTTGAAAAAACATGAATTCCTATGCACACTGCACATCTCTTATTTGTAGTGCAAAAATACAATAATAAAAATGAAGAACAATTTTAACAAATATAAACTTATTAGTATTTCAATGGGAAATGTGGGCCTGCTTTTGGCTGATGAGATAGGATTGTTGTTTGTGCTTTCAAGTCGTTTCAGACTTAGGTTGACCCTGAGCGAGGGCCGGGTAAATGACCTTGGAGGGCCGCATCCGGCCCCCGGGCCTTAGTTTGAGGACCCCTGTTCTAGTGAATCATCTGAGCCACAGAGTTGTATCTTTTTTTGTAGTCTGTCCGATTTTCTTGCAACAGCTGAGGAGACGGTCCATGGTTTCATCAGCTTCCTTGCACAGTCTGCATTTTGGGTCATCCGTTGATTTTTCAATCCTGGCGTATTATTATTATCATTATCATTATTATTATTGGTTGTGTGCAAAACCCACCTTAAAGGACTCCATTTTTTGGGGCAGATGAAAACATCATGGCAGCTGTCACAAGGGGCTTTCAAGCCACCTCTCAAGTGAAGACTTCCTCCACTGTTATGAAGACGGGCAGCAACACCTGAATAATAATAATGGCATTCAATCACAAGGGGCCTATTAAGTTGAGGAGGAGGTTGTCAGGGGCAGATACGCGTGCCGGTCACTTCCAAGCGAAGAGACCAGGCTCTTTCCCCCCTCAGCTGCTTAACCGAAAAGGAAGGGGCCTGAGGCTGTTAGGAATGATGGGAGTTGAAGTCCAAAACACCTGGAGGGAGGAAGTTTGCCCATGCCTGAGACATAGAGGCGAAACGGGAGGCCTTTCCTCCCCTCAGCCGCTCTGAGGGTCGCCTTCTGCTGTGACGCCTCAGCGCGGGGCAGGGCACGCGCCCTCTGAGGGGCTGCCGTCGAGGCTCGCGCTGCTCTCCGCGCACGAGGCCGAGTCCCTCCCGCTGTGGTGGCCCCGCCCCTCCTGGCGTCTCCCTCCCTCCCTCCTCGCGCCCAGGAGGGGCCGGTGGGCAGGAGAGCGCCTCAAAGCTCGGCCGGGAGGGCTGGGAGGAACAGCAGCCTTGCCTCGCTTCCTTTTCCCTCTTGCATATCCTCCTCCTCCTCCGTCTCCTAAGCTCCCTGCTTCTAAGGGACGATGCTCTGGCTCTTCCTCCGCAGCTTCCGAGCGCTGCTGCCTTCCTCCTCCTCTTCCTCCTCCTCCTCGGGACTGACTCTCGCCGCCTGGCTCGTGCTCCTGCCCATGCCGTTGGCGTCCTCCATCCTGACAGGTAAAAAGGGAAGGAGGGTGTGTGTGCGCGCGCGCGAGTGAGCGAGCGATAAGAATTGTGGCAGGGCTCGCGCGCGCGAGGGGGGGGGTGTTTTAGAGAGGGACTGGAAGGGGAGGGGGTGTTTGAGAGAGGGGCTGAGAGGGGCGCTCAGCTGGAAGGGCGGGGGGAAAGAGGAGGAGGAGGTTGTCAGGGGCAGATAGGCGCGCGAGCCACTTCCAAGCGAAGTCAGAAAGGGGAGGGAGGGAAGGGGAGGACACCCTACCTTAAGGCGCCAGAGTAGGAGGCAGGTAGAGTGTCCTCTTACCTCAGACGCTCTGTGAAGTGTCTGTCATACCCCAAAGGGGACAGCAGCACAGGCTAGTGTTGTGAGGACTGGCCCTGAAGCCTGAGATGGACCTAATACACCAGACTTTGGCAAACTTTGGCCCTCCAGGTGTTTTGGACTTCAGCTCCCACAATTCCTAACAGCCTACCTGGAGGGGGAAAAGGAAAGGGCTTGAGGCTGTTAGGAATTGTGGGAGTTGAAGTCCAAAACACCTGGAGGGCCAAAGTTTGCCCATGCCTCTGATACACTTATTGATGTGCCAACAAGCCGCACTCACTTGCACTAGCTAGCTGTCTATGCACCTGGATCTGTCTCTCCAAATGACAACCCAGGTAATAATAATAATAATAATAATATTTATTTATTTGATCAGTCATATGACCATTTCAAAATAGAACACGAGTAAAAAACAAGGCAACAAGGTGAAGACAGCAGCCGACCTTCTATTTATAGTCAGAATCTTATTTTCCTGGTTCTTCTTTCAGGAAATCTGCTCTTTTCTTAAAGCTTTCAGAATAAAAAGGCTTACTCTGATTATGCTGGATCTTTCCTGCCCTTGCAAGAGGGATGTCAGAATATCATTTCTGTTGGAGACCTGCAGTTGGATAATATTGGATGTAAATATCTGTCTCGCAGTTCAGTATATGCTGGACAGTCAATTAAGAAATGTTCAATGTCTTCCACTGTTTGTTCTCCCCAGATGCAGAATCTCTCACTTCTTGGGATGTTACAGTAGCGCCCGGTTTGCACCATAGTACCGAGTTGTTCAAACCTAGCCCTAGTATATATTCTTCTTAAGGGTAGAGGAAGTGGAATAGTTAGGTAGTGCTCTAAATGAATATTCCTTTTGTGGGAAGCTAAAAACCTTGTGGCTGAAGACCTACCTATGCTCTCTAGGTCCAGCTGTGCATAGACATCCCTAATGCGCCGCTTGAGCACTTGCCCTGCCCCCGGACCCAAAACACCCAGAAATTGCAAAGGCAGACCGAATCCAGCCAGCTCATTATTCAGAGCCGCCATCCACGATGACTTCTGGTCATGCTGGACTTGATCCTCTAGACATAGGCGAGGAAATCTACTGGGATCCATAGAGTTTACTTTTGACTTCAGCAGCACATATACTAAAATTGGAACGATACAGAGAAGATTAGCATGGCCCCTGCACAGGATGATACGCAATTCGTGAAGACAACCCAGGTAGATGTGACAGTCAGGAGTGCTTACTATCAGTGTCCGCTCTGCCCTTTCCTAGATTTGGAGGACCTGAAGATAGTAGTGCACTGGTAACCTCAAGCTTGGGCTTCTGCAATGCACTTTACATTGGGCTACCCTTGTATCAAGTTCAGAAACCAACTGGTTCAAAATACGGCAGCCAGATTGGTTACAGCAGTATTTCTTAATCTTCCTAATGCCGCCGCGACCCCTTAATACAGTTCCCCATTTTGTGGTGACCCTCAACCATAACATTATTTTCATTGCTACTTCATAACTGTAATTTGGCTACTGTGATGAATCGTAATGTAAATATCTGATATGCAGGATGTATTTTCATTCACTGGACCAAATTTGCCACAAATACCCTATATGTCCAAATTTGAATACTGGTGGGGTTGGGGGGTGTGTGTGTGTGTTGATTTTGTCATTTGGGAATTGTAGTTGCTAGGATTTATCTGGTGGCACAGTGGGTTAAAGCGCTGAGCTGCTGAGCTTGTTGACCAAAAGGTCGCAGGTTCGATTCTGGGGAGTGGTGTGAGCTTCCGCTGTTAGCCCTAGCTTCTGCCAACCTAGCAGTTCAAAAACATTCGAATGTGAGTAAATCAATAGGTACCGCTCCGGCGGGAAGGTAACAGCACTCCATGCAGTCATGCCGGCCACATGACCTTGGAGGTGTCTATGGACAATGCCTGCTCTTTGGCTTAGAAATGGAGATGAGCACCACACCCAAGAGTCAGACATGACTGGACTCAATGTCAGGGGACAACCTTTATCTTTACTTACAATCAACGAGCATTCTGAACTTCACCAAGGATGGATTTGAACCAAACTTGGCACACAGGAGTCCCATGACTGGAAGGGTTTGGTGGGCATTGACCTTGAGTTTTGGAGTTGTAGTTCACCTACATCCAGGTAGAGCACTCTGGACCAAATTTGGCATGAATACTCAATATGCCCAAATGTGAACACTGGTGGAGTTTGGAAAAAATAGACCTTGTCATTTGGAAGCTGTAGTTTATGGGATTTATAGTACACATTCTGAACCCCACCAACGATAGAATTGGGCCAAATTTCTCACACAGAACCCCCATGACAGCAGAGAGATCTTCGGCTTTCTCTGCCAAAGACCATCAGAAATATGTGTTTTCTGATGGTCTTTGGTGACCCCTCTGACACCCCCTCACAACCCCCCCAGGTTGAGAAACGCTGGGTTACGGGGACATCCTAGAGTGAGCATATCATGCCTCTCCTAAAGTCACTTCACTGGCTGCCAATTAGTTTCCGGCAAAGTACAAAGTGTTTGTTTTGATCTTTAAACCCTGTATGGTTTGGGTCCTGGTCACCTAAAAGATCACCTTCTCCCCGCTCCAATCTTCCCCCCACAATTCAATTTTCTGGGAGGCATCTGTTCCAACCAGCCAAAACCCAATTCATGACCATCACCCAAAGGACCTTTTCATTGGCCATCCCAAGACTGTGGAACAACCTGCCAGAAGAACTCCGAAAGCTAAACGAGCTGTCGGAATTTAAAAACCATGTAAAAAGACCCATCTCTTCTGACAGGTCTATCCAGACAGTCTTTAAACAGGAATTTTAAGTGTCCTTTGTTTGATCTCTGTTTTGTGTGTTCTAGTATGTATTTTGTAGAGATACATTTTGGTGTTTAGCTTTTATGGAGGTATGTTTTAATGTATGTATTTGTAGTGTTTTCGCTCTGCTTATGTATTTTAATTGTTTTTAACCCACCTCAAGCTATAAGGAGAGGCGGGTAAGAAATAATAATAATAATAATAATAATAATTGCAGTAGCCCATTTTACCCTGCTGTGATTTCACCCTCTGTTTGCTTGTATTTATTTATTTTTTTATTTCTCTTCCCCCCTCTCATTTAGTTATTTATTTATTTATGACATTTATATGCTGCCCTTCTTACCCTGAAGGGGACTCAGAGCGGCTTACAAGATATATATATACTTACAATATATTATATTATTAGCATAGTACAATATCAGTATTAATTATTACTATATTGTACTATACCATTATATTGTAATATTATTAGTAATATTACAAGTAATATAAACTTTAAAATGACATTATAATACACGTTAAGTTAGAATTTAAATTATAGTTGAAAGCTAAGACCCTTCCACACAGCCCTCTAATCCAGAATAGGGCGGTGTGGAAGGGCCCCAAGTCTCTCTCTTGAGACCTTCCAAGGACCCTTCCACACAGTGATATAACCCAGAATATCAAGGCAGAAAAACCCACAATATATGCTTTGAACTGGAATATCTGAGATCACACTGCCATATATCTCAGTTCAAAGCAGATGATGTGGGATTTTATTCATCTGTTTGGAAGGGGCCCCAGAGTTGCCACAGAATAAGCCCTTCTCTCCCTTGTTCCCTCCAAAGGAGACTGATAACCTGGACTCAAGTCATAGAGGGCTTTATAGGTCAAAACCAGCACTTTGAATTGCGACTAGAAACTGGCAGCCCTCTAGGGCCCTTCCGCACAGCCCTATATCCCAGAATATCAAGGCAGAAAATCCCACAATATCTGCTTTGAAGTGGGTTATCTGAGTCCCACTCAGATAATGTGAGATTTTCAGCCTTGATATTCTGGGATATAGGGCTGTGTGGAAGGGCCCTTGGTCTCCATCTGGTGCTAAAATTGTATCCGAAAACATTTGGGATTCTCCTAGTATCTTTCAAAGCACTGGGATTGTGGTTAAATTCAGTAATGGCATTGAATTGTATAACAAACCCAAAATGACTGTCATAGTCAGTTTCAGGCAATTCAGACTCAATGGAGAACCCAAGGTGCCCCTTTCCACCTGTCATGTTTCTGACAGACACACCTTAGGGCCCCTCCACACAGCCCTATATCCCAGAATATCAAGGCAAAACATCCCACATTATCTGAGTGTGGACTCAGATAACCCAGTTCAAAGCTGATATTGTGGAATTTTCTGCCTTGATATTCTGGGATATAGGGCAGTGTGGAAGGGCCCTTAGATAGAAAGATGTGCACTGTGAAAAAGAAATAAGGCCAATATCAGATAAAGTGTTTGAATGTGGAAACCCCTGAGGAGGCTTTGCTAGCTGAATTTCTCTGTGCACTCTGACGCTGTTCACAGTCTTGATTTTTCTGTTTCAAACATGCCGGTGAAATGAAAGGCTGGTATTTGGTTCCATTGATTGGATCTAACATAGGTTAACAATAGCAGGTTTCTCATTTGCGTCTTGATAGAGATCAGGTCAGGGAGACGGTGTGGAGTGATGCATTGCGTGTTGGACTAGGACTCTGAAGACCAGGGTTTGAATCTATTGGATGACCTTGGGCAAGTCACAATGTCTCAGCCCCAGAGGAAAGCAAGGGCAAACCTTTTCTGAAGAAATCTTGCCAAGAAAGCCCTGTGATAAGTTTACCTTAGGGTCACCATCAGTCAGAACAATAACAACACCAACAACAAAGAGCTCTGGTCCTTATCCAGATTGCTTAAATTTCATTTAACAAGGCATTAGAGAAAAATCAGAGGCATCCTTCTGTGCGGTGACCTAAGTATGGCATGTATAATAAATGTTAAAGATGGTTGTTAACTGACAAAAGCTATTATTTACGCAGCTTAAGGTTTTTATTAATTTGGTGGGAGAGTCAAATAACAAAAAAGTAACAGTTTAATGTTTTAATTGGGTTCAATGTTTTAAGTGATGGTATTTGTGATATGTTAATATCTTGCTGTTCCCTACTTCAGTCCATGGGAAGAGGAGGGTAAGAAATAACAACAGCAGCAGGAATCATAATATGTTTAACAAACCAAATCAATTCCACACAAAATAAAAACAAAGCAGAGTTACAGAAGTCTAGTTTTTGTTTTTCCTACCGGATCTTACTTTTGTGTAAGTATGATGAGGATTGCAGGCCTGGGATGTAGCAGATTTAAGTTGTTAACTGAACACTGTATGCACAAAATGAGGAGGAAAGTATTAATGTTGAAAATTCCCACACAGGCTCTGTCGCAAAATGTGAAAACGAGGGAGAGATTCTGCAGATCCCCTTTATTACAGACAATCCTTGCATAATGTGCATTTGCCTGGTAAGTGTGAATTCCACTGATAAGATCAAACAAGAATGTCTCATGTAATCAAATATCGCTTATCTTTTTCCTTTGTATAGTGAGAGGTTATCTCACTTCTGTACTGGTTGCACACATTTTCAACTCCATAATCTTGGAGTTGTATCCTTGACTTCTTAGCTTAGACATAAATCTTTCATCTGACTTTGCCTATGACTTTGTAGGGCTACCTTAATGTTCTTATTTACATGGTATGCATTTGTGATTAAAGGTGTTCCCCTTGCATTGCCTGTGGTGCTAAACCATTATCTGCTAAACGTTTTTCTTGCACATAGAGTTTGTGCTCATGGCAAAGTAGGAAAAAAGAACTGATGCTTGGTTAGAATCTTTGCTTATAATTTACCCGTCCAAGTTCTAAAAATTGGCATGAAAGCTACAACAGGTCAGTAAGGCAACACGATCCAGGTGGTTTGGAAGCCCAAATCTGCTTTCAAAATGTAGTATAGTCTTCTTTCAAGCTCTGCATTCTTGGCTAGACATATTGTAATAAAAAGACAATGCCAGCACACATGATACTTCTATCAGAAACTTGCTCTGAGGATGACACTGGAGGCTGTTTGTTAGGGAAGTTCAGATTCTCTTTTAGTTAACAATGACTCTGGCTTGTATTTCTCAGCAAAGGAAGTGCCCCCCTTATTGTTGCAGTGGATCTCAATTTCACAGTAGAAACACTTTGCACATCAGACTGTGAGAGTCCCAGAGAAATTATCACTGATAGCCAGAACATCATTTTTAAGGGTTTTAGAAAAAACAGTATGTTTTATATTATAGATACATATGGGAACTGGTAGAAATAGTCTCTGCATTTGTAGACTTTGGAAAATCAAGCAATATACTGAATTTTGCAAAAAGCTTTTTGGGCTGAAACATGATGATTTTCCATCTGTCAGGTTCTAGGTTGTTGCTGTCCAAAAAAATCTAAATTGCTATTATATATATTTTTGCTATTAAATTTTTCAGCTTTGCACTTCATCTCTAAGTGAAGGCAGGTGTGTATGATAACTATTTGGAGAGTAATCGAAATCCTTGATCAATGTTATTGATAGCAAATGCAGGGGAAGAAGAGAAAGTGAAGGAAAATGGGTTAGATGAGGAATTGAAACATAATAAATGGTTAGTGGCTTTGCATATTCTAAAGACATCTGCAATAAGCTCTTTCTTTCCTCTCCTCCCACTCTCTCTGTGTATGTATGCGCAAGTGAGAGAAAGCTGAAGATATCACAACTATCTCAGTTGGTGATCTGATAAAAAAATTATAAATGGTGCTAAAGTAGTGTTAGTGTGCTGACCATAATATTTGTTACAGCATCATATAATAACTCTTTTCCTGTGTAAGTGTTTTTCTGTGCTATAAAAACTTTTCCTTCCTTTTTCAATAAAAAAATCAATCTGGGCAATAAGTTCCCATCAGGAGAACTCTACTAGGCAGTGCAATATTATTTATTATGTGCCTGTGTGCAAGTGTGTATATTTCTCCTTCTGGGCTGCTCCAGCTGCTTTTCTACCTGCCTAAGTCCCATTCAACCCTCTCCTTCCTGTGTCTGAGTGTGGATAGTAGACCTTTGGTGTCTATCCTTCCTTGTCCTAGCCTATTCAAGGTCTGTCCTTGTCCAGTATCAATCCGTGTTTGACCTGTTGTGTGGCCTTCTTGTACAAAAGATAATGTTTCTTACACTCAAAAATAAATCAAAAGACACCCAATAGATTGTTACAGGTGGGGAGATGAAGGGTGATTGTTTTCCTTACAAGAAAACTATGAGAAAAATTCTAGTATTCTACAAGTCTCTCTGGTTTTCAAGATTATATCTTTACCCTTCCATCTTTCACACCTCTTCTCCAGCCAAGGAAAATTGTCTAGATTTGGTTTTTTAGATTTCATGGAGTACTGGATATGGAATGGTACACATATTAATCATTTTTGGATCACTCAGTAGAAAACATCTACCCATTTAAACACTTGAATCAACAATTGAAAAGCAGACAGATAAAAACAGTTGGTCATCTAACTACAACCATAGGACTGTACAATATCATCAAAAATAACAAAAAGTGCTCTCAGAAATGATGCAATATTTTTGTCATTGCTTAATCCACCATAACACATTTGTTAGTCTCTGAGGTGCCATAAGCTTCCTGAGATTGGATGCTCACAAATGCCTTTTGCAAAGCATTACTTTCAAAGATATGTACCAAAGCTCCATATAAATTTCAGTTCCCCTCTGAACAGTTGTCCTGCAATATTTGGTTCAACTCTATAAATTTTGATGATAATAATAATGTTTATTTATACCCTACTTTTTCTTTCCACAAAGGTGACTCAAAGTGGCTTAATTGTGACCGTATGTACATTCAGGCTACAGTCCTATTGAATCTTATCTGGCAGTATTTTATCATGAACTTGGTATGCCTCATTTCTCAGTAGATGCCTATAGGACTGTACTTTAGTTATTTATCTTTTAAAAATCATACAAAGTTAATAAAAATTTAAACCCTATTTTAGAACAACAAATTGGTATTTCATTATAACATTTCATATGCACAGAATGGGATAATAGTCCCCAATATGGGCAAAAATTAGATTGTAATGAATTAACCCTACCCATACTAGATATTAAAGGCATTTTTACATTATTAAATTTAAATCACCTTTGAGCTTACTTGAACTGTTTATTTATGTTAACATTTGACCCATGTTAATGCAAACCAAAAAATAAAATAAAAGCTTGTTACGATGTGCGTATAAGTCTTCCTGCAGATCCAAGGTTTTATATTAGTATTACACATAGAGACTGAAGCAGGAATCTTTTAAAGCAAAATGTGTGGTAACAGCTTCCATGGTAGATCTACTAGATTTAAAACTACTCACCACATCCTCTAGATCAGTGGTTTTCAACCTGTGGGTCCTCAGGAATTTTGGCCTACAATTCCCAGAAATTCCAGCCAGTTTACCAGCTGTTAGGATTTCTGAGAGTTGAATCCAAAACATCTGGGGACCCACAGGTTGAAAACCACTGCTCTAGATCAAGTGTGAGTATCTGTCGAAGGCATTGGACTGCTACAACCAGGAGTCCTAGAAAAGCTGTACTCCTTGCTACACACCTCTGCTAAGCCATTAAAAAAAGCAAGAAAATGCCTCAAAACGCCCTCTAGGAGGAATGGATACATTCTTACCAAATTTTTGTCTCCCCAAAGGATTTTTTGGGAGTCATAAAATGTTCTTTAGAAAACATTTTTTTTTGAACCTCGGGAATTCTGAGGTAACAAAAATGGCCCTTAGACCCTGGGCATCCCAGTTTGCCCGCCTCTGGTTGAGACTAGAATATACCTGCGCATGGCAACTTAACATAGCTAAAAGTGTGGGAAACATTTACTAGGAAAGGTCATTGGCTGAAATTCTTTGTTAAGCTGCAGGTAGTCCATCATTCCAAAATGTCAAATGTTTTGGCTGTGAATGTGCTTTTAATGAAAAATAAATTTATGCTGGCAAAACTTTGTTTTACTTTTTTTAAAAGCCAGGAATTGCTTAAAACAACTTGGCTGGTGTTGACTTTTCTCTGTAGAAAATGATTGTGTGAATTGTATTGTATGTCTCTCCTGCTGAAGGGCAGGAAGTGTATATTTGTACAATCCTTTCCATATGAACTTTTGTAAGGGCAGTGATTTGTACTTTAATAGTACTTTCCATCCATGCACTTCAGGCTACTCTACAAACATTAGTGAATTTAGTCTCATGTGAACTCTGTGTTGAACAAGGAACTAAAGGTAAAGATGGATGTTATTTATCTGATCTCATACAAGATGGAAAATAGAGTACTTATTGCATGTCTGGATACTTGTGAATGCACACATTATTCTCCTCTTCGTCTGCTGGATCATAGGAGAACTGAGTGCAGTATGCAGGTTTAAATCTGGGGGTTTGTGAAACCAGATTTCTCTAGTGAGGCCTTCTTTCCTTCATATAAACGTATAACACCAAAACTACTTTGCCTCTGGTTTATGCTATGTAAACTGTCGTTATTACCCCTTTAAAAGATGTTTTAATTAACAAAGTTTTGTGTTGCAACAAAATGGGAATGCAGAGCCTAAATGTCTTGCTGCTGAAAAACAATGAACCTGTTGGAGCTCAGCCTGTGATTGTGTTTCAGGATCAGGGTGCTTTGGATGTGGGGAATGATGTCAATGAGTTTCAAGATGGCAATGGTTTGGGCAATGATACTGATACTGGAGCTTGAAAACAGCTTGGCACCAGGTGCAGAAATCAATGAGCAAATAGATAGACGGAAGGAGATTAGTCAAAACAGAGAAGCAACAGTGGCTTCAGCGTTCTGCCGGGCTCCAAGAGAAAAAGATAAGAGATTCCAAACTAAAGCAAAAACAAATTCTGAGTGCTTGGAACATAGCTAACGAGGAGATAAAAGTCCCAAGTACAGGATATGTAGTCAGATGAAGCATCATTTGGAATCAAGTCAAGATCTCGTCCTTGTTTCATGGAAGCCTAGCTTGGAAGATTCATGTTTAAGTGCCTTTTGTTTCATGATTTTGATTCTTGGATTTTGTATTCATGCCTTGGATTCATGTTTCCTGGTTTCTTGGGTTTTATTAGAGAACTTTTGGCTTTGTTTTATGGACTTTGCTGGACTATTTTCCCTGGACTACTTTGTTCCTGCTTATCTTCTTCCCTAATTGGATTTACCTATTTCTTTAAAGTGCTTTTTACTTTACTGCTTTTTAATTATCTTCAATAAAAGGATTGTTTTTTCCTACTCAATGGTATGTGTTTAAAGTCAGAGGGCTTTTCCTGTTCTGGCGTGCAACAGAACCAATGTTAAATTGCTAAAATTCTGACAGTCATGTAATTCAACCCATTGTTTAGGTCCCATAGTTCAATCTTTAAAGACAAAAAGGTATTGTAGAAACTTTTGAAATCCAGCTGCCCCATTAGTTGTTTCTCTGGTCTCTGT